TTGCGCTGGCCTGGGAGGGCAGCAGAACTGAAGAAGTCTGGAAAACGAGACCAGCGGACTGTGGCAGGGGCGGAGAGCTGCTGTCAGAGAGAAATGACCAGACGCAAAAGGTGAGGTGAGCAGCGAAGACCAGAACCAAGGGGATGGGTTTAAGAGGGGAGCGTGGGGGAGTCTGGAGAGAGAGAAGGAAGTTTCAAGTGACACCTGCCGTACTATGTCAAAAACGAGAGAGAAACGGGGACAGATTAGAAATATTGTCTCTTACAAACCCGTGCCCCTCTGATCTAAACTGCTTTTGACTCTCCCTTGATGTCGGTCGTGTCTCTTCTGAGGTGACACGCTACATCACACAATACCAGGCAAACCACTGGCACTCGACACACGGCAATTATCCAGAATTCAAATCCAGCTTCGCCTGTAATACCTATAATAAATGCTTCTTTCCTGCTTCTTTGTTCCCTCCATGGGAATCTTGACGAGATACAGCAAAATGGGGGCTGTGGAATCAAGACCCTCATCTAATGAATGGAAGACATCATCTGGCCAAAGTGAAGGACAACCAGCCGTGGGACACGTACCCCAGGTTTATTCTTATCAGTAACAAGTATACGGGGATAGAACATCGTAATTAATCCAGTTGTGGTGGTAGTAAAATATTTTTGTAAGAGAGGTGAATGTTTATTGATGTACTAGTCGGCTATTTAATCGGGACATTATTCTTAACATTATCACATGACACTGTCAGATTGTGCTCACAAGTCAGATGACTGACTTGCCCCTTGGGAGTTTCCACGCTGATCGATAAATCGGCAAGTCCAGACGACTGCCGACGTACCATGGAGGGAGGCAGCCCACGTGGATGCAGGAAGCACCACTCTCTGGGTCAGGCCCACCCCTACGACTCCTGAGCCTCGGTCCACAGTGACTAGCACCTTGACCTTCACGCATCTCCTCTGCGCACTTACGCCGCTGTCATGACGTAATCTGTAAATACTCATCTCCCTCAATGGACGAACTAAGAATGTAACTGTCGCATACCAGCCGATCTATGCCCAGTGCCTAGGACAGCATCTGGCACACGGTGGACTCAATAAATGTCTGTCGCATACATTACTGAACTACCTCGAGTGCTCAGGACAGGTTTTTCTCTCTGGTCCTCAGTTTCTTCATCTATGAAGTGAGGGGGTTAGGCTAAATTATCCCTGAGGGCTCCCTAATTTTGTCATCCTCTATTCCTGGTGCTTTGCATCCCTGCAGGCCTTTATCACTCCTCATTTCTAACAAGTCTTCGAGCTGGGATCCCTGCTTCCACCTGGTCCACCGGCCACGCTGCTGTCGGAACGAACTCTTACTTGTTAATCTGACCATGTTAGTCCTCTGCCGAGACCTTCCGAACACCAGCCTCTGCTGGCTGCACTCCTGAACCTGGCGGACAAGGCCCTGCCCGCTCTGTCACCCCCGAGGCCTCTCCTGCAGTTACTTCCCTCACACAGCACCTCTCACCTCAAGCCATCTTGAACCACTTACAGTTCCCCAACTATCCCTGTTAACCTTTATTTTTTATAGAATGGGCATATTTACAGGGCTATCACGAGAAGTCAATAAGATGTAACATATAACCAACTCTTAATGATGTATTTAGATATCTACTTAATTATCCATTAACTTTACAAATGTTGAAATTTGATGGACCCTGAGTGTATCAGTCTGTGTGGGCTGCTTTAAGAAGATACCACAAACGGGGTGGCTTAAAGGACAGAGTTATTTCTCACAGTTCTGGAAGCTGGGGAGTCCAAGATCAAGGTGAGGGACAATTAGGGTCCTGTGAGGGCCTTCTTCCTGGCTTGCAGATGACCATCTTCTTGCTGCATCCTCACACGGCTCACACACACACACACACACACAAACACACACACACACACACACACGTGTGAAGCTCTCTGCTCTCTTCCTATAATGATACCAATCCCATCGTGAGAGCCCCCACCTCATGACTTCATTTAAGTGTAATCACTCCCTAAAGGCCCCCTCTCCAAAAACCATCACACTGGGGTGGGGTAGGGTTTCTACATATGAATTTTGGGGGACACAATTTAGTCCATAGCAATGAGCAAAGAGAATAATGGTTTATAATGGCTGTCTGGCCATTTGTCCAGCATTCTGCACAAGTACAGCACCTATGGGAGCAGGAATTTCATGTTCGAAACAAGGGATCTTACGATGAAAAAACTATGTACGTTTTGTTTGGGTGGAAGTGAGGGAAATGGAAAGCTGGACACTATTTGAAAATGAGGGGAGAGACCGGCAAAAGCCAGTTCATGGAAAGGTCCTGTATTTACAAAGAAGTGCAGATTTTATCTACTGAATGACTAGGGTCATGAGAAAACAGATTCAATGACACTTCCACACAAGGTTGGCTGTTAGCTTTAAGAGCTATAAAAATTCTCATCCTAATAACCCCACTTCAGGGAATTTACGCTAAGAAAATAATCCAAAATATCGAGAGAGGCATGTGTGCAAAGATACTTACTACATTATTTACAATAACAGACACTGGGAGAAAGCCGCGGAGGAATACTTAAGTAGTTACCAAATAAATGTTTGTTGAGTGAACTAACAAATGCTTGCTGAATATTAAGTGGCAGTGAAAACAGTAAAGTACAGGTTATTAGTATGGAAAAATCTTCAAAGTAAGTAAAATAAACAAAATATAAAATTATAACTCTATAATGCTATAACTCTATAAATACGGTAACAAAAGATGGACAAAACTAGAGGTAAATACAGATAAAAATGAGAGAACGGGCTGTTAGGTTGGTGCGGTCACGTGACACCGACATGTTTACAAAAGATACTCCCGTTTTACACATGAAAAACCACTAGTCCCATACAAGGTCATCTGGCCAGTCGGTCTGCAGTCTCACCAAGTGGTCTTCATTTGTAGCCAGCCCAAATAAACACTTGCTTTCAGTGACACACGTGAACTGACGAAATACTTGAGGCCAATACAGTAGAAAGAAGTGTTTGTTTTTATAACGAAGCACAGAACAGGGAGGGGAGGAGGATTGAGGAGGAAGATCAGAACTGTTCAATGAACTCCGTGCTCAGACAAAAGCACCCATTATGTCCCACGTGCAGGGACATAATGAGAAATCGAGCCCTTGGGTATGAATGAGCCAAAGGGAAACTAAACAGCATGACGGTGGCTGAGTAGAACTGTGGTCATTCTCTCTTGAAGCAAATAGTAGCAAGAGAGAGAAGCACATAGTTCTGACATTACTGGGTTTTGCCAGGGAACATCTGGTAACGTGTTTCCTCAGGTAAAGTCATACACTGTCAGAGCTAAGTGAGGGACAAAGGTTGAAAGGGATTAGGTGATTGGTCCAAGGTCACGCAGTTGGTATACAGCATCAGAACAGAAACATGAGGTTCAGAGTCATACGGACCAAGTTTCAAACGGACCAAGTTTCAAACTGTGGAACTACCACTTTCTAGCTCCATCTCAATCGTGCATTCCCTTAAAGGACTATTAAGAATGTGTGTCCTTGGGCAGCTCACTCGATCGCGCCCAGTCCCAACTTCTTTCCTCTCCAATAGCGTGAAGGCCCCTCGGTGCTCAACTGTGGCTCCGATGCTCAGCATCTGCTCCCTTCATCACGCTTCATAACCGCGCTGCCCCGGAAAACCATCTGCTCCCGCATTCCCGGTCCACGTGCTCTGTGAAGGCTCGGGTCCACGAGCACGCCGTGGACTTCTGGATGTGCTGGAGGGTGTGCCACCCAGGAGAGGTGCTGAGGGGTGACATCTGGGCAGGAATGGAGGATGAAGTAGAGAGGTCCTTATCCCCAGTGGATCTGAAGCTGAGGGGGAAAGGCT